TATGTTTAAGAATTTATCCACAACACATTATATTTTTTTAAGAGTAAACTACAAATTTGATCCCTATGCTTTGTTAAAAGTAATATTTTTTCGTATCTACAAAATAGCTATCACGGTTTGCAAAAATATCAGAATTTGGTCCCTTCCTTTGACTGCCGTTAACAAATTATGTTAAATGAAGGGTATTTTCGTCTTTTCATTGACTTTTTGGTCATTAGTCCAATCACAAACCACATAGACCAAATCATAAAATCAATTTTGATTGGTTAAAAGATAAAAAATCGATAAAGTGATGAAAATAATTCTCATTTAACAAAAAGTTTAACAACCTTTAGAGAGATCAAATCCGAACGTTTTAAAAATCACGATGACTATCTTGTAATTTCAAACTGTATGGATAAAAAATGTTATTTTCGACAAACCATATGGACAAAATTTGTAGCCTACTCATTTTTGTAATAATATAAAAGATGTTAATTTTTATTGAAGGAAGGAATTAAATTAATTTAGTGAAATAAATGGATAAAAACACCTAATATCATAACACAAAATTAGTTGACTTTTTCGACTTATTTGAATGACAAATATTTATCTGGTATAATTATATCCACGACTAGAAGGACCCCTTATATAGACTTTACAGTAACAACGTGGCTGAAATTACTCTGCTACCCCCTTCTTCTTTTTTTATTAACCTGGATATACAACCCGTTATGCGAGCCGACTAATCCCAGGGAGACCACCTACTTTGCAGATAGTCCGGAGTCACCGCATTTGAACCTCCGTGGCCATAATGATATTTTTATTCCTCCTTGGATTTGAATTTGGGACCTCCAGGTACTTTTGACCTTTGGAGCCAAACTCAAACTAATCAGGCACCACCCTTGTGGTTAACTTAAAGGGTCTTTTAGAATCAATTGAGGTGTGTGCAAGCGGGTCCGATCATTCAGAACTACATAAAAAACAATCTAGGTATAAGTAATTATCGTGTAAATTATATCAGAAATAATAAAGAAAACCTCAAGTCAACTAGCTGCATATAAAGAATTACCATACTAGCCTCATAATCATACATAAGAAGATTAAAGAAACAAAAGTATAAATGCTATCAAACAAGGATCCAATCGACATTTTCATGTTATGTCAGAGACTTGATTATCTTCATACTCAAAATCTGATGACATTTATATGAAAAAGAACCACTTATGAAGCATACTGTATCGAAAACAAAGTCAACTGAGAATATAGATGGAAATTACTAGATTACCCCTATGGGGGAAGGATAAAAAAGGAAGACTTAAAAAAGGGTATGGGGGAGAATGCATTTGAGTCATATCATGATGGTGTTTTGAACTATTAAGAGGGGTGAGCCAAATTGGTAAGGACCATGAGGACCACTTAGCAAACCCTTCACTCATTTCATTTCTTACTAACGCCAAACTTCTAAAAATATCAACAAGATAAGGGCATGGAACATGTTACAAGTCAACAAATCAATGAGAGATTCCCCCACTAATTCAAAAAGCCAAATTTATCTCATATTATTATTCAATAAGCCACTTAAATCCATATAAAATAATAATAAAACATGTTCGTTTTTTTTTTCTTTTTTGGTAATTGTAGGTTTCGGGTCAGTTTATGTGTATTAACTGATCTCCTGGACCGCCATAAATGGCCTGGAGTACTGCAAGTGAACCTTCATGGTCACAAAGACTTTGGCAGCATCTGAATTCAAATCTTGGGTAAATTAGTTTTTCACTAAATCCCCTTGAGACTTAACCCGCTCGTCTTCAATTTTTTTTTGATTAACCTGGATATCCAATCTGCTATGCGAGCTGACTAATTCCAAGGCGACCACCTGCTTTGCAGATAGTCCGGAGTCATCGCATATGAACCTCCGTGGCCACGAGATGATTTTTATTTTTTCTTGGATTTGAACTTGAGACCTCCTGGTACTTTAATTTATCTTATATGTAAAAGATAAGAGATAACAAATTAATAGAATTTGTGAATAGGTCTTTAACAGTAAGCTCATAATTGTACTTTCACTTGTTCTAACATCAAAATTGAAGGAACTTTTGGAATAAAAACATTAAATAAACCGTATGAATGAAACTTGTTTATTTTGTTCCATAAATAATTTTTTTTAATAACCTGGATATCCAACCCGCTATGCGAGCTGACTAATCACAAGTGAGTTGGTAAATTATCTCAACAAAGAAAATATTATCTCGCATGTGAGTTGGTAAATTAATTTACTTCATATGTTTAAAGAAAAACAATGTTCGTAATACTGTATAGAATATTTGGTTACTGGCAAACAATAAAAATATTAAATACTCATTTGAACAAAATTAAGAAGGTTTAATTATAACTACAATTTAAATTTACAAATATCACGTAATTGTTATTAGTGAATGAACAAATTACCAAAAAAAGGTGACGTATTTTTTTGAGGATAAAAGAAGGTTATCATGCCGAACCGGCAAACAATTTGTGTCCATGACATTTTATTTCTCAATACGTTTAATCAAATTCAGAAACATAGACGATTCATCTAAAGAATTAACTGAGTCAACTCGGTTGACAAAAAAAAAAAAAGAACCCATGTACAGAATTTTGTAGCTTTGTATTTTACAAAAGGATAAGAGCACCCAAGTCCCAAATTTTGAAGAAAAAGAACACCCAAGTAGCGATGTATCAAATTTTGTTGGCATCATGGTCCAACACCGTTAGATGTGGCGGCAGACAGTGGCAGTTCTAGAACCTCTAACGACTAGGGTATGTATTAAGCACTTGAGGCAAGACATAGGACACGACTCATTAAAAAGATGACTAATTTTTTACTTTGTTAGGTCAAAGTGATCGAGGGCACTCCCCCTCATGGCCTCCACTTCAATACATGAATCCGCCAATGACTAGATGCTATCGTTTACTTCATTGTAACCAAATTCATCAGCATTCAGTAACTATCCTGACACTGAATGTACACAAATTGTTTTATCGCATAAATACTATGTATTTGGTTGCTCATTTCCTACAAAAATTATAATCACATAATATAATACATATATACAATATAATTCATGAGGTGAATGAAATTATGTAAGAACCGAAGTTATTGGTACTCCAAAAAGGTGATGCTTGCAATCATTACACTCACTTTCATGTGAGAAATAAAGTGCAACTATCACTTGTTGCATCATTTTGATTTGGACTTTAACCGTGAAAATAATTGTCAATCTCACAAACTTACTTTTAGATAACCACATCACAAACATGATGATTTGTGCATCTCACCATGTACAATATTCGACTAGGTTTGGATCTACCAGTAACCCGAATAGGCAATGACCATTAGGTAAGTTTAACGAATGTCATAAGCTAGGGTTTATGCCTAGCACCACAAGAGATAAGCAAATGGATGAAACTCGAGTAGCTTGTGAGTCTACTACTCGAACAACTTGGGTCGAGTGCAATTTGGCTCGACCCGTAGACTAAAAGAGTATAAATTTGTATAAGAAATATCTTGGCTAAACATATATAAAAACCCATGGTCAACCGGCCATTTAACTAGCTGAACCTCCACCTCTTGAGAAAACCATGTTCGGTCTATCTCAAGATAAATTTATATTTAGATCACCTTTTAAATTTGACAAGGACCAAAAATACCATAAAACGGTGGTTGAAACATCAATTCAAGATCAAATCATAGTCGTCATCGCATGTTAGTTCATGGATGCTTCTTTCCTCCCATATCAGCATTCTACAAATCTTTTCATGTATAAGAGCATTTCCAACAGATTCCTCAAAATTTCTCCAAAATAAAGAATTAGAAGTCAAAATCTCAAAAAAATTACATTTATCTCCAACAGATTCCCCATTTTAGAGATTCCAACATTGATTATAATATTTCATTCATCTATTAGAAATTACTTCTCTCTTTAAATATTTATTTTCAAAGTTTCCTACTGGTGCTCTCACTTGGTAATCATTTTTTGGGTGATATCCATATTCGAAGAAATAACCCTTCTCTCTCCTGCTTTCTCTATTTTGAAGATAGTTTTGGGGAAGCTGCTAGAGCAAACTATAGGTTCAAAATCCTTATTTTCTCCATTTCCCCCATTTTGAAGAAGTCGTCAAAGATGCTCTAAACGACATATCACAACTTAAAACACTTAGGGGCCGTTTACCAAACGCTTATTCGGGTAAGGGCTTACCAAGTCATATTACCTTACCGAATCAACATTGCAAGGACCAAGAATCTTACCCAGTAAGAGCTAAGATAAGGACTGAGAGTCTTACCTGGTAAGTGACAACGACGACCCTTACCACAATTAGCACTTACCGGGTTACTTGTTGCATACGATACCGTATTGGTGAACTAATATCTTACCCGGTAATTAATTGATAGTTTTGAATTTTGCCGGTAAGCACTTACCCAGGTAAGCATCGGTAAATGGTCACAAACGAATCTAAACTTTATTGTTTTTCAAATATAAATTTATAACAAAATATTTCAATTCAAACCGGTGATCAAACCAAATCAAACACGACTCAGTTTTCAATAATTCAAACCAACCAGCCTATTACTAGCAGATAATCTCCAAACCAGCAATTTATTTTTCATTTTTTATTGGTTTAGCCAGTTTACTCAGTGTGGACTGAAATGCGCACAGCCCTAAGTTTTTTTTGAAATTAGTGATCCAAAGCTTTATCCAGACTAATCCCATGTATGTATCGCCCACAACCCTAAGGTAACAAACGTATATGTAGATGGTAGGATTCGAACCCGGGTTGATTTTATCATCCACCCTTGTGTTAAGACTATGGATGCAACAAATCCTCAAGTGTATACACAAGAAAGGGGATCATTGGCTCATTGCACAACAAAATACATACATATAGATATATATGTGTGTCATAAATCAAACAGAAATATATACATCTTAAACTTCAAAACAATATATCTACATATATATAAATATAGCCACACTCTTGAGCAAAAATTGTGCTTTTGCTATACGAATCTGGCGGTTTCAACTACATAATACGATGCAACTCCTAATTGTTCTTAATACAGGTTCAGTACTACAGTTATCGTTCAAATCTTTACTGAAAACTAACGCTACTAAACTGCATCCTACATTTCTGAGCTTATCATGGTAGGTGTTAATATGGTTAGTGATTCTGTTAAGTATGTTACTATGGCAAATGATCCAAGCTTTGAATCAGAGAAAGTATAGATATGAATGGATGGATGGATACCTGTAGACTATGTATGGGCTTCTCAGATTGGTACCTTGTTGGCCCAGGGATTGGTTGAAATGTATTAGTTCAGCGTGGTCTTAAACTCACACCAACAGGGTCTTGTTCAAGCTTTTGCTTTTCAAGTATTTTCTTCAGCGCATGGGAACATCTGAGGATGAATAAATAAATGGTATTATTAGTTTATTAAAGTAAAGAAGATGGTATTACGCTCACACTCTCCAAATATTTAACTCATCTTTTTACAATTTATGACAAGAGAAATAGAAAGAGAAATAATCAAATACTTAAAATGCACTTGATTTGGGATTTCCAACCAAATCATTGGACTCATTTAACAAATATGGTGCTCACTGGACCTTTTTGTTGCTCCACCTACGTAGCAGATGCTTTCAGCTAAAAATTGTAACGTTTAACATTAGTGATTTGTACGTAATGTTCCATAGATGATATATTCTTGAAATTCCAGAGGTCTTAAGACTTTTACTAGATGCTTTACAAAATAGTACAGATATGTCATAGCTATTTTATGTAAGATTTGAGTGAATGCTACTAAAAATTGCAATGACCACTCATCATTTACTTCCCCTTATTGCTATGCAACAAGGTTTAATAATGCAACCCTGCCCAACTAGCTGCACTTGTGAACAAATAAGAAAAATGCGTCTATGTGAAATCCCCAACCCAGATCTATAATAATCATGTAAAACCGATCACCCAACAATCTAACAGTTCTACCCAGTTCCTTAAAAAGCAACTCAATGTGTTCATCTTTTGACCCACAAAGTGTAAAAAGTTATCCATGAGGTTCTACCCGAATTTTTGATGTATTTTTCTTAATTGTTTAATTTGTTCTTCAACTTTCACTTGTTTTTTCTAAATAGATAATTAGTCTTTACTCTTCGTCTTCTGTATTATTCAAAAGATTGTTAAGTCTTTTAAATTATTAGGCTGTATTGGTGTTCAATTACATATGTTGTTACTCCATGTCATATTTATTACATTATTTAACACCAGGCAATTGATAATAATCTGACCACCATTCATTTCTGTGGCAATAACAATACAAGTTTTTAGAATATGGCAACGCAAAAGCAGATCATTTGCGCATCAACATGAAAAAGAGTGTGTTAAGATGATTTACCTCCAGGGTAGGTGGTCAACGAACATATAAGGTGAAACAATCATGTCCATGAAGGCTTCCCTGTTAGCCACATAAGCTTCATACCCACATCGTGCATCGGGTGTGCTCCATCGTCTATATAGAGGCATATCAAACTTTTTCTTCTCAGGTACTATATGAATGACCACACCTGGCAAAAACATTTCTCTGAAGTTCTCAGACGACTGGCCTTTTCGTGATGGCATAGCTTCCATAAACCGTGTTACGAGATTATCACGTGAATCAAGATTATCAGGAGACTGATAAAAAGGATTAGAGAATCTTTCTGATGAATCAATTATACCACCATCATCATCTGAACTATCGTCCATGTCCATACCATGCCAAAGGCTGAAACGTTCATCTGGTTCCTGGATGCTCACTACAGCGATTGTCAATGGCGCAGTGTCAGGATTGATAAGTACAAACTGACACGAGACAACTAAAGGGCCGTTTACTAAACACTTAACTTAGTAAGCGCTTACCAGTTCAAATACCTTACCTGGTGAACACAACAAGGACCGAGAATCTTACCCGGTAAGAGGGAAGACAAGGATCGATAGTCTTACCCTGTAAGTGAGGGTGATGATTCTTACCATGGAAGCACTTACCGGGTATGAACGCTTACCATCAATCCTTTTGATGGCCAGAAATGTCACCCCATAAGATAAATAAGGGCAACGACTCTTGCCGGTAAGCACTTACTCGATAAGAATTTGGTAAACAGCCCCTAAATGAACACAGTATTTATACAGCTCAACATTTGCAATGGACCCAAAAACAGATTGGTGAGTTCAGTTTTTTTGTTAACCATGGGTGTCCGGGACAGCTTGCATGCACCTCTACTAATCCCATGGGACCCTGAAGATAACAACTAAGAAAATTCCCAGTGGCCTTGAGGAGACCCGAACTAGTAACCTATGGGGAGGAGCCCCAAGGCCTAACCTTTATTTGTCAGTTGAGCTAGCCCTCAAGGTTACAAATTGGTGAATTCATAGGTAAGTTTATGGATATTTCCTTACTATTAATCGAATGCTTCCAATGGTTCCAGCTTCAAAGTCTGGTGCATTCCCAGGCTCTCGCCTATATGATTTCAACAAAACAGAATACCCCTATTCCCCTCTCGATGATTCTATTTAACCTCTAAAATAGCTTGGTACCCTCCCCATCTCAAAGCGACCATAGGGTTGTTAATCTTTACTATTTACTCAATACCCCCTGTACAGCTATATATTTTATTACTACCACCTCCACTATTATTGGTTTTACGTCTTATGTAGGTAACCTAATGGCAGATTTATCATTACATCCACGGTCATTGTTGGGATTCTCATAATATAATTCGTGAACTTAGTTGTGCACTTATAGTAGGAAGAGTACCCCCATATACTAGTAAATAGATAAGACAATGAAAAACCTCACACTTCCCCACAGGCAACAACTCAGCAAAGGGTTGGATTTACAAGCCGTAGACCGGCTTACAGTCCACAGATAAATTATCTGAGAATTTTCATTGGTATATGCATAAGAGAAACATGATAATAATAAGTACCATGCAAAAGTTCACCCCGATTAAACTTCTTGCTTTCTCTTCTCAGTGGCAATGGATTCAACTCTGAAGCTGGAGGCTTTTCCTGAGGCTTGGTCCACAGATAGGTGCTTACTGAAAGAAACCGACGAGCAAGTTTATGAATTACGGCTGAATCAGCATCTGCATCATTTGATAGTGCCAGCATGGCAGCTGTCTGTAACCTCATGATTGAAGCAACCGAAAGGCGTGATGAGAATTCAGTATCATACACGATGCTGCAGCAGCAGGGACAATATGAAACTCTGCCAATAACTAGGTGGGACGAAAACGGAGGACAATAATAAGGCACGGTAGTATTGTATCAAGATTACCTTGTCACAAAACCTGAACATGCATTTGCTAAGACTGAATCTACACATGGAAGCGGCCCATAACTATATACATGTAATCGTGGATAACGTCCATATAACTGTTCATAAGAATGGGAAAGTTAGAAATACATTGGATGTTTGATGCAGATGATTTGGTTCAGTAACTGCGTTTCATACTAAAATCATGAATTTTACAATTGCCCTCTACTGTTTAGTTTGTCAAGGAGGGGGCAGGAAGGAGAGTAATTGACTTCTTGAACCAACGTATTTGGATTTTCGTTTCAAACTAAATTGGCTGTGTTTAACTTAGGAGTTAGGACATCAATTGGTCGCTGAGTGAAAGAAAGCATCAAAAGTTTGGCATAAGAAAAAGCCATCGGCAACATTATAAACATTGAACACACTTTCTTATACAGGTACCACAGGTTCTCAGCCTTTTGCTTCCCATAGCATTTGCAATTTCTTGTCCCATGATACCATTTGATGATGCAAAACCACTTGAGGAACCAGATAAAGTTTGGTAACTATTAGATAGGAATAAATAGGCTTTTTGGTCGACATTAATGAAAACTTTTGGTGAATTATATGAAACTTAATACTGGATTTTGCATTTGAATTTTTTCTTTTGTGTAAGGATCTGGTGTTCCTGGTTAGATCTAGGTTTTGATTCAAGTTCATTTGGTAACGTTTTGTATTTTTCAGATTTGGTTTGCAAAAAGATAAAGAAGACAGAAGATAAAATAATGTAGAAGATGGAACATAAGAAATACACAAAAGAAAAACAAATATATAAAATACTAGGCAATAAAAAGACAAATAATTCCCCCAACAGACATGCATTTTGCAAGGCATGCCTGTTGCTTAATGGATGTTCACTGGCAGTGTTAAACAAATAGACTTGATTGTTACAAAATAGTTGATTTTGGGCTCGGGCCAAAAGAGGTCCATGGACTAACCTGCAGATTGACTGTAAATCCAGAGACCAAATGTTAATTTACTCTGAATGAAAGTATGAGAACAGACCTTCAATCCTAGCAGTGCAGAAATAGCTCCTCCAAGCGAATGTCCCACAACACGAAGGTTGTACCCTTCACACTCACATCCAGCTCCTAGCAATGACGTAAGCAATCCACCTTCCTGGAATTCTGATTCGCAATTCGAATTGTACGAATTCGATTCATGAACAAAACAGTGTGAATCTCATTAGGAGATCAGTATCTTGTTTGATTCACCATCATATTGGCAATTCATCATTGTGTTGGTGAACTGAACCATATTACACAATTTCATAAAAATTAGCCTTGATTTCTTAGCTTATTTGTGACGCTGTTATGGACTTCTGTGTAGAGTTTATTGAACCAACAACGTATTTGCAGTCAGATGACCAAAACGTTTTGTTGGTATATCATAAAATAGTAACCACCACTAACTGGACATAAGAAAGTTCTTGTTGATTTACATGTAAATATTGGTTTTATACCTCATCCCCGGGGGGACCACCATGGCTCCTCTCTTCTTGAGAATCCATACATCCCTTACCAATGTATGAACAACTATCTCTCGAGCCAGGTTAGCCGTATAGGTTCGGCCTCAATGGAAAAATAAAATGGAGCACCTAACAACGCATCTTCACAGCTCAAGAGCTACGAGATCACCTCTTTCATTCTGGGGTGACAGAGGGATCATACCATTTAAGCCTTTTTTCATGCTTTTCCCCAAGGTATGGAGAAAGCTGAAATCAGAAGGATTTCCCTAATCCTCCCTTGGGAAGAGCATGAAATTATTTTTCACTTATTTTTTGTGTTTGTATGTAATTATGGTATATTAAACAAATTATTCTAGGGGAAATTGAGTTCACAATTCAATTCTCAGATTTTGACAACAATGCTAGGAGGAGTATTTGGATAAACTTTATGAACACTGCCCAATTAAGACCTCACATGCTTACTTTTACTGACAACGAATATGTTATAGTTTCCATGAGATATCCCACAAAGAAAATTGTTGAAATTTGATGGGATGGAAGGTGTATGTGATGCATGCTATGGGGATTCCCTTTCATAAATGTTTCCACCCTAAACAGTTCCAATCAACAAGCAACAGATCATACCATACCTTTGTTTCCAGGATTTCCATCAATTTGCACATACAGATCCCTCGCGGCTTCCACTATACCAGAGTGCCCATAATATGCTGAACCTGGCGGAATAAGATTATCACTGTGACAGGGATGAGAAGGAAGAAGAATTCTGGTCATGAAAATGTTATGATAAGAGACCAAGAAAAAGAAGAGCAATTTTAAAAGAATGTTACTCGTAAACCCTTTATCCAAAAATAAATGCAACAATTTCCATTTTTGGTGTCCTAAAATAAACGTAATATCTCCTTTTCTCTTAGGGAAAGTATTATTCCAATAACTTAGTCATTGACCCTTCAGTAATCATTATAAAGAACTTTCTTGATATTGTTAGATAGCTTTTGACAACTATATGCATATTAGTCAATAACTCAATATAATAACTTTTTTGACTTCCTACATCATCGGAACATCATTCCAATGTATCTACTTTTCAATTTAAGTCAATAAAACTTAATTATCTAGTTACTTGTATATATTTGTTTTATTCGGTAAAGCCGGATTGTTACAAGATCCACCCACAACCCCAACACTTTAAATTAATGAGTTTTTCAAAACTTCTATATTTAAAGTACAAATGAAAAGTAAATTAAAAAAAACAATCAAAACGAAAAAAATAAAATGAAAAGAAAGAAAAAGAAATCAGAAATTAGAAATCCACGTGAGGTGTTCTTGTAAAAAACTTACATATACAATTTATTTGTGTATGTTTGTAGTCTGTAAGTGTGTGTGTATATGTATGGATACGCATCTACATACACACACACACATATGTGTGTGTGCATGCACGTACATGCTTGTGTGTGTATGCATATGTGTACGTGGGATAGTATGGGTTTTGAGCTACACCTCAATCCGTCCTAAATATGGACCAGGTCTAAAAGATCTCCCCTATATCAGTCCCACACCTGTTACCAGACAGCCTTATATGCCGCACACAGGGGCGGGTGAGGCAACACTATGCCCCTAAAGTCCGCCCTGTTGCCATCCTAAAGTGGGATCTCACAAATTCAAGTGTGTGATAATAGAGGTGATTTCATTCATACGCAATTGTCTTTTTGACTTTTTTGATTTATCAATTAATTGAACTCCCTCAATCTTCACTTCAGTTTGTTAATTTGGATGACAACTGGAAGAAAAAGATATCACTGATATGGTGGTAAGAATCTAAGTATATGATTGATCAAAAAATAATAATTTGCTAGAGGTATGCAAGTTAAAAAACCATAAAAGTTCAGTGATCACTTTATCTATTTTGCCTAAATGAATACTCCCATTTGATGACGGACAATGGGAAGGACAAGTTCATGTGCTAAAGTTTCTCCGATTGGTACAATGTATCGTTGTGTGTGTGAGAGAGAAGGGGGGGGGGGGAATAGAAAATATGTAGTTAAACAGGACAGTATTAAACAGAATACAAAGGCATAGCCGGGGAAAAAAAACCCAGGAGAGAACGTACTATATCAAACCATCTATATCTTCTGTAGCAAGCATGCATTCCCTACTTAAACCATCAGTTAGGAGATCTTCTGGGGTTTCAGTTCCACGCACACATATCACAACAGATTTTATATGATGGAGAACCACAACAAAATATGCAGCTTCACACCTTGCCTGAAACAACAAATGCAAATTTGTAATACATGGATAAACAACACGTGGAAACTGGTTTACAAGTAACTTCCACTCTTAAACTAGACAAGTTTAAGACACCCATGAAGGATAATGATGTCACTAAATTTTGCAAAGAGAAAGTATAGCACTCAGAATGATGCACGCATGGATGCATGATGTGTGAATCCATCAGTTTCTTTATACTTGCATGTTAAGCTATCATCTCCCTTGCATGCGAAAACGCATGAAGAGAACCATGTAAAGGTGCATTATTATGTGCACACCAGACACTGAAAATTACAGTTGCAAGCAACAGACAGAAAGTAACAAGAAACATGAACACCTTGGTAGAAGGCAAGCACATACAGGTGCACCATTGTGCACAACACAAACAGAATTCAAATCACACCTCTAACAAACTGTAAGCGACAATACCAGCAGGAAAATGATCAGTTAGCTGATTGTGTCACCAGTCAGAATATTGACTCCTGAATATTGGTAGTATATGATATATACGAAAATATGTAACCAGAAAGTTACAAGGACCTGACAAACACGGCCTTGTCGAAGCACTTCAGCAGGCAAATTTACATATCTCAGAAAAGCACTTGCATGACCTCGCCACCAATTGTCACCTTCGAGTTTGGGAAGCCTACAGGAAGGTGGAACTGTTAATATACACATGGCAGAAATGAACAAATATTCTACTTATGATTGTATGGACAACTACTAACTTCTTGAATTCAAAGGGGAACCCGACCAAGATTCACCATTACTATTTAGACCAAGGCAGATGTAAGCTTTATCAGATCATAATCATCATATTATATATACTACTCCCTCTATCCTGTGAAAAGTGTGATTATTGCATTTTGGAATGTCCAATATTAATTGGATTGTATAATTATTTGTAAATTTTCAATCTAACATTATATATTTGCCCATGTTCATCATTACAAATTATTGATAGGATTGATTTTGGTCCACCAGTTTCCTTCCCATGTATAATTTTGAAGGGTGGAGGAGATTTTGGACATTTGATTAATAGCCAAAGACTCCTGTAAGTCTGTGTGCAATCTAAGGTTGCAAATTATTATGGATGGAGGGACTATAATAAATGAAGTGGCATCGCATGGAAGATAGCATATGCATGACTAGAGTATCAGCCTCTTATCTTGTTGCAAAAGAGAGATTCCCAACAAATATTCTGAATAAGTTAATCACAGAGACGGAATGCAAATGAATGAATCACCAAATCCTTCAGATAATTCCATGCCTTACTGTTCGGTTGGGAGTATTTGAAAATTAAATCTACAATAATTGTGACGATGGATCTCAGTTAGCATTTGTTCACGTAGTTTGAAGTTAACCGAGCAATTAGAAGTTGATCTTCATTTTATGATTATTCGTGAATGGTAAGCACTTTCAACACTCGTAGTGCAAACCAAGACCACATAACTGAGCATTCTCTAAGCACCAAAAATTTTAGACATCCTGTTTCCACTGCTTGCATGTCAAGACGGCAAGTGGGGATTATTCGATATAAGAACACATAAATGGTCATTCACAGTATAGACAGGAAGCGGAGAGATGACAAGGGAAATTACAAAATAAATGATTTGCACCAAAAAGGAGTTAGTGTGGGTTGACCTATTCCAAGTCCAAGGGGTCAAAATCCCTTGCCTATACAACCATGCACAAAGAAACAATACAGGATTCCTTCCAACATCAAGTAAAAGGCCCTGTACCAAGAGAATAGTTGGTGCTGAGAAAGTATCATAATAAGCTACAAAAAGACTTTTAGTTCTGAAAAGACCGTATAGGCAGCTTCAGCGAATGGATGAAAATCAGCAGCTCCTTGAATTAGTTCTTCAGGTGCCTCCACAGTTTCCTCTTGATATTTAGGCATTAGGCTTTCCCTTTGCAACAAAGCTAGGCCTGAATAGAGTAAGTAAACAAGTCATGCAAAGTAATAACTACACATGCTATGGACAAGGCTCGAGAAAATTCACGATCACCATCTTCTTCAGTAGAAGAACATAGATGAGTTTTAGATATAGCAGATGCTGATCAAAGCAAATGAAGCATGATATTTGGTGTTAATTGAGAATTCGTAAAATGCATAATTCCTATCTTCTACTTGGCTTTCAGGGGTTTATGGACAATAAGGTCACTTGAGAAATATAGTGTTTTCACTTGACTTTCGGATTAAGGTACGGAAGTTGATAGATTGCAATCCCTGTCACACATATCTTATAATTTATAATGAAACTAATGAAACTTTTGTTGTGGCATAAGCACATAAACAACTGATAAAAGAGGAAGAATAATTTATGAACATCAAATGTATCTTAAAATTAAAATCTGAAATAGAAATCTGTTGGGGACAAGTAGAAGTGGTAGAATGACACTGATGGAAGGAGTATAATCAATGAAAACCAAGTATAGAGGAAGTAATAAAGCTTCAAATGACTCCATCTAGGCAGTTCTGCTATTTTCTTCAGTTTTTACTATCCATCCTCAACTTGTATAAGGTAATATCTTGGTTTTTTGTGATTCATCAAGGCAGGCCTTCTCAAGTTTCAAGTTTCAAGCTTCATTGCCTCTCAACAATTGTCTGGATTCAATTCAAGTTTGGGCTGCCTTCAATCTCTCTGCTCGATGGTCCAGTGTGGCTGTCCCTTTGAATGGAGTCCGTTTTCTTCAGATTCAACTTGATTTGTTTACTGTTATAGTTATCCGTGAAGTTCATAAAATAATATAAAGAATTGCCTAGAGTAAAAAACCACTGGCAAGAAGCAAAGTATTAACTAATGTGAAATCTGTGACCTTACAAAGATGCGGACGTCACATGAACCTTGAAGACCCATGCATTCAACCTTACAAATCTCACGATATGAAAAAGAAAAACCGACTAAACCCTATACCCACGTATGTTAGACAAATATAAGACTGGCACTTGTTAACAAATTACCCAATTCTTTAGGAGTGCCAATCTTAAAGATTAATATTTTGCACTTCTAATTGACCTCGAATCTAACCAACGGAAAATATAAATAAAAAAACAAGAGAAGCTTTTTTCTGTTCATCTCCAACCAATCTATACAGTCCACTCCAATGTATGGTATTGAACTACACATGACGGATACGTGGAACATATTAATTTTACAAATTTTACATCAGAGGCCATAAATGAACTACACATGACTGTTACATGGAACATAATAACTTTGCAACTTTACAGCAATGGCCATATATCACCTAAATCACTTCATGTGAGGAACGTAAAATCAAGGAGAAGGCACCTATTTTGAAAATAAATGACTACTTGCTATTAACACTTTACAAGTATTGTACCCAATGTAACATGTTAATTTCAAAAACAAGAGAAGAGTGCATGAACTGCTAATGAAAATGTTATAACAAAGTATAGCATCATTTTATCACAAGGAATTTGTGTTCCATCCAAAAACAAGACAGACCTGCCAAGAGTTCTAGATGCCCTGTCCCAGATGCACGATAAGAAACAAGGTCTCCTAGTAACTGTGCCACTGAGAAAACTTCATCTTCTTCCATTACAGTCCTAGAAATTGAAGCATGTGAAGTAAGCAAAATCAATAAAATGCATAAGAATTCAGACTTGTAGGCCAAGCAGAAGTGCAGAAGCATACAAGTATTTGACACGTCCCATACAGCACAATGCTTCACGAAGTCCTTGATCAAATACCTCTCGATAATGGTGTTTCCATGCTTTGTTTTCGTTCGTGTAGAAAGACCTCCATCTTAGGACATCAGATCCGGAATAACATTGTACCAGTGTGACATAACACACCATGATAACAAATACCACCGCCATATTATGCAGCCATGTGGTGTTAGTTGAAAGAAGCTCTGCAAAAACAACAATTTTATGGATATAAAGCCACTTGTAACATGTGGAGAGAACAAAAAGTGGGAAATATCACGACCCCTCGTAGAAATAATGGTAAAGACATCTTCAGTTACCTATTTGCTAGATGGGACGAACTATGTCCTGTTAGAGCAAAATTCTCCTTGTTTCAAGAAACCCAAGAAATGGGGAAATGGGGAATGGGGGATTAATGTAGGACCTGACCAGACCAACTAATAGATCCAAGGAGGTTCAGAATAAAAAAATAGGCTACAATATAGAACTGATCTACATATCTTATGATAAGAAAATATAAAATCATAATAAGGTATTAAGGTTTTGCTTATAGAACATTCTACTCTCATAAACATGCAATGTCTTGAAGCATTTGAGCCTCTCTCTATCGTATTATTCATTAAACTTTAAACAAGGCAACAATTGTACAGATCTACAAAAATAGAAAGTTCAGGGGCCCTAAGTTTACCTAATACACATGCATTTGGAGTTCGATCTTTAAAAACATTTTTTGAAACATTGATTAGAAGGTAACTTGCTCCCATAAACTGCAGCACTGTAATTACAAAAGCAAACCGGGTCCACCGTATCCACTTCATGTACCTAATCTGTTAAGTAATAACAGAAATTTTAAATTAGGTGACATCACTACACATGCCAATCTAAAGAGAATATGTATATATAAAGATATATCATTTCCCATGATTGGGTATTGGTAGATAGGAAACCACATTTTGTTAATGTAAAAATTGCATCCTAATCTTTTCGAACTTCCCACAAGCACAAAAAGTATTTGATGTACGCCAACGTCTGAAGAAACCATACGAACTCGAATTGAACCAAGAGGATTCAGCACTATTCAGAACCATCAATGTTAACATGTGAACAACTTAAGTACAATTCTACCTGAAGTCCTGAACAGTTTAGACAATATTTTATGATTCCCCCAAGTGTTATTAGATACAACGCAAGAACGGAAGTGTGAGCCGCAACCAGCATCCATGTGCTTTTACATTCCACAGTAACTGGGAAAGAAGTATATTTAGTAAATATGTAATATTCTACATCAAACCACAAAACAGCATACTCACTGTATCCTACTCAGAAGTAGGGCCTATGGGAGGATATACCCAGGCCCTTTCTCAATCCCAAGGAGTAGAGAGGTGGTTTCCATGAAGGCCCCAGCTTGAAAAAAAGTTTTGGGAAGTCACAAACACGTTTAGAAGGTTTTGGAACGTTATTAAAGAGCATGAGACAGTATAAAAAATTGTCGAATTAGAGTGTGCGCCAAAAAGTACAATAAAGGCAGTAGAACAATAGAGCAATGCGTCACTCAAATAATCAAGGGATTTGATTTTTAGATGATTTCTAGAATTATGGGATTTAGCTAAGAGCAAATGATTTTGTATAGCTAACTTCCCCCCAGTTTAGTTCTATTTTAAACCTATTTATATGTAAGATTGTATAATGGAGGATATCAACTTTTTCTACTTATAGTAAACAATAAGATTTCCACAGTTGGAAGACATAAAAGAAATGAATATTTTACAAAAAAGGGAAAAGATAATCTGAGCCCACCTAATATCTCTATACAAGAAGCTGATGATGAACTTGCTTTGAAAATGGAATCTCATTGGAATTCGTGTGCAACTTGGACAAAAAGAAACGAAGTGGCTTAGACAAATCTTTTTTGTCGATAACCTCAGACCAATCAATCGGCATATACAGTTATATGGAAACTATGAGAGAAAAGGCTTCAAAGGCTTGCAGACAGAAATTTTCGTATTCTTTAAAATCCGAAAGATGAAAATGTGAAACAGATGTATGGTACTTTTGGGGAGCCCATTGAACAACATTCCACTTCACGAATGGCCGACCTGCCCCCAGCTCTTACAAATCCAATTATCCATTCCAAGAAACGAGTCGTTCAAGAAAGCCAACAACATCCATTCAGGGAACAAGAAACTTGCAGAGAATCAATCACCTAGATAACAGTCACATTTAGAGAATACGATCTCAAGCACTAGAAGAAAGCCATATTTGAGTAGCATCTCAGCCAAGAAATTATATTAGCCTGCGCAAACCCAAAGACATGGTTATCCTATCAATAAGGGACCAAGCATCTTGAGTAATCTTAGATAGTGTTTGATTGCCTCTGATTCGGCTGAATCAAAGATGACCTCTGACTCGGTCAAAGGAGTGCACTTTTTGGTAGATTAATATTTTGCCTCTTATTGACTGACCAAAAATTATCATCCATCCCATTCAAAAGCAACACATTTCCACACTTTATTGCAAGCGACTTGGTGCCCAACCTTGATGTAGCCTGTGAAGTCCGCTGGAAGTTAGGAGGTTGGCTTGCCACTTGAAGTCGCCTGTTAAATCACATGGCAACTTGTGATGCATTAGAAGCAACCTTGTCCGTGACTTGGGAAGCCATGTACAAAGTCACATGATGTATACCGACATAATCTGGAAAGACCGGGCGAGCTCTAAAGTGACTTCGAACTCTCCCAGAAAGTCGCCTACAAACTATGGCCAGCTAAATTTTGGCAATTACGTCAAATTTGATTAGCTTACTTCTTCTCTCCATGTTAGTACATGGACATGATGTCGCATAAACCCCTTCATAAGGCTCAGTTTAATCCTATATATAGCAATCTTGGCATGTGTGACACATAAGCTCTAACTTGAAGGGAGCAGCAGTATAACATATGACGTTTAGATGATGCTCATGTGGAGATTAGTAGAAAATCTGGTAGATTTTCTGATTTTTCGGAGGTTTTTAATGAGAATTGTAGGGTTGCAAAGGAAGAAAAGTTAGATTCACTGAGGCCTAATGGACTTAAGACAAAGAAAACTAAATAACAGATCTGGTTGCAGGATTGGTTTTTCTGATGAAAGAGTGTTTGTTTTAGTAACTTGATTATGTGAAGCCGGGTAAAGAGCAAAGAACAACAGAAGCTGCATTGTTGGTATCTGAATTGTGCAGTTTAGAGGTCGATTACAATGGATTCTTAATAAATACGTATGCACAGCATATTTCCATGTACATACATTGTTAGGAGAAAAGGGCAAACAGTAGCCAGTACGGATTTGTGTACAGCAAATTGTAGTGCACGTAACCACCAAGGACCTCATTTCTATAAAAGTAAGTGTTATGTGTCAAGTACTACTTATAGCAGCAAACTGATGTCTCTAAAAATGTTGATGACCAGCTGTCTTGATGTAGCCTCATTTTGTCAATGCTCTACCCACTTTTTCTTATTGTCTTTGGCCAGGTTCATGGGCTAGTACAGCAACAACAAAAAAAGAATCACTACGCGTTATATTAAGCAAGTTGAAAAAACCAAATAGCTAAACAAGCATGCATCAAGAGTTTGATCCACTAATGCGATAGTAAAAACATATCTCCAATTCCTGTTCATTGCTTAAAAATTCCCTTGAACCAACCCGTTTATTGTATTATTAATCATAAAAAAGAACAATAAAGCTAGAAAACTGACGTAAAATTTTACCCGCTGGTGACGCCGAATTAGGGTTCCAACAGCACGTGTTTCAGAAGGAGTATTAATAATCGTCATGGCCGTAGCTCTCTGCGCCATTGCGATCGGAATCATTGACGCCATTCTCAAACACGAAACAAAGAAAATCACAAGAAATGGAACAATATCTCCAATTACACAGTCCGGGTAAGCTGCAGTGATTAAAATGAGGCTGATGATTATCAAAAACATATTCGAAATCCCTAGAATTATAGCGCTCCATCTCAGTTGCTTGATTTCAAAACCCCAAATCATAGCGATGCTAGTAAATTAAGATTCGTATTGAATAATCGGCAAGAAAAAGGACTAACATCGGCGAACAAGTTGGAAAACGATCGAGGAATAAGTAGAGATGTTTGAATTCGGTTGTTTGATTCTTTAAACGGTAATGTTCCAGTATATAGCTGTCTATGTTTAAAACAAATATTTGTAACAAAGTGTATTGTTAGGCTCGAATTTGTTAAAGGAATTAAAATTTGTAGGGAATTGGAATTAAATGTTATCAGGTTTGATTAAGTGTTTGGTTTGCATAATAAAATTTAATATGTCTAATGAATTGAAATTTGTTTGTTTGGTTTGCAGTAGAATTGAAATACAATGATGAAAAAAATATAAAAATACCTTTTTTTAATATTTTTTAAAAAAATTGTTTTTTAATTATAAATAATAATAAAATTAACATTTAATTGGAAGCAAGGAGTAATTGGAAGCATTTTTTAATTAAATTTCAGAATTTAATTAAAATATTTAAACTCCGTAAATGCTATTGTTAGAAATGCTTGCTTTGGCACATCTACTCTATGGATAATGGTGGCACGGGTCGGAACTTTATTCCTTCGTTGTAATGTAAAAAATTATAGGGTTGTAAATGTGTCATTGTATGATTTTGTTGTGTGTAATCGTATATATTTTGAAACTATAATGATGATACAAGTTTTCTTTGGCGGAGTTGGTTTGCATGATTTTTCTCCCGAGGGGCGAGTTTGAATCTCGTTTGTGTCATCTTCTTAATTTTTAGTTTTTAATTTCAGATTTTTTATGTTTCTGGAATTTTTTGAAATAAAAGTCTTGAACATGGGACCTCACATATGAAAAATAAAGAATTAACCAACAGACCAATAATAATTTATAAAAAATATCCATATCTTTGTTCTTATAGTCAAATTGTGTTGTTGTATGAAAAAATTTATATGTTCACCCTCTGTAAATGCTATTGTTAGAAACATTCGGAGACATAGAGCGGTATCGGATTATGAATAAAGATACATATAGCATTGTAACAACCATGATTTTCAGGATTCCATTTATGATTAATCACGTTACCCAATGGTGTTAAGGATAATAATCATGAAGGTTTTATATAATTATCATATAACGATGGTTGGAGATTGTTTCGGGCTTGAAAAACAAAAAAAAAAGTCACGCGATCAGTGACTTATGCGACTTCTTCATGTTTTGGATAAGGGGGACTTTCATGCAACTTTACCCACATGAAACCCGCATTCGCGCCTAGATAAGCTTTTAAGTCGATTTTTCTAAAGGTTTTCTTCATTATCTTATATCTCCTTCATCTCAACTCCGTTTGGACGATTTTTGTTGTTATAGTCTCGGTTTTTGAAGCTTTTCAAAAGTAGATCAAGAGGATTAAAGTTTATTAAGAGATCCAAGAGTATTTGAGAATCCAAAAACTAGGGTTTTGTGTGTTCTTCATCTTCCATCCTCGTCTTACATCTTCATCTTACGTTTTGGGTTCCTTGAAGTAGAAAAGATCTTCTGGAAGGCTTTGGAGCTAGGATTTGGAAGACTTGTCCGTAGATCTCAAGTTTCTCCAATAGGAAAGTTAACATTGGGGTAAAATCTAGATTTAACCTAAATTTAGCAAGGTGAATTCAAGTTGCTTGTAAAAACTATGTACATGCCAAAAATGTGTATTTTGATGTATTAAAATGTTTTCCTTAAGAATTATCAAATGTGTTGAGTGTTTGGTGAAATTTGCATACTTGGTACATTTAAGTTAATAGATCTTGAAAAGACATATATTTGGGATCTTTGAATATTTTATTAAATAAATCATAAGTGTGTGTTATTCTGATGTTTTATCTCATAAATAGAACGCATATTGTTGTGCTACGGGATACTTGGAAATATAAATGGTATGGTTTTTAATTGAAAAATGATTTATCCCAACCTATGATGGACTTTGAGTTAATCATGTATTTTCATAACCGTCGGTTAAATGCGTTTTATTGCTTTTGATTATTTTTATTTAATAGTCAATTGAGTTGTTGGCTCGGTTTTGACTTAAATGAATATTAGAGATATTTGTCCGATTTAAATTGCTCTATGTTGAGCTTTTGGAGTTATACGCAGTTATGACATATCTGTTTGTAAATTACACGTTATTTAAGTACATTGGTCATCCATTTGGGGTGATTGTAAATTAACTCGTCATATCGCATATGATGAGTATATGGTTGTTGGACCACTAGTCCTTTCATTTTGAGTAACAAAGTATATATCCCTATTTAAATCATATGATTATTCCCTGTTTGTCAGTTGTCACTATATACTAGATGATCTTTTCAAGTAGGCACTGGGAGGATTGAGTCTTGAGATGCTACTTTGGAGGTAGGCACTAAGAACTCTGTCGCTTGAGGTAATGCCTTGGAGGTAGTCCTTAAGTGTGTGGATCCTTGGGGTGTTACTAGTGGGAGTAGACACTTAGTTTAACCGACTCTTGAAGTGAAACTTATTAAGCAGTCGTATGGACACTTGGACTTTAAGTCGTGAAGTGTTATTCGATAACATTGTTCGAGTGACATAATTTTGTATTCTCATCACTCTCAATAGATACGGGTCTCCCTCGTTATTGTTAAATGTTATTTTTGGGTAGTAAATTATCCATTTTTAGTATTGTTCGAGTCTGACGAGTAGCCATGATTTATGGTTTTGATATATTAGATCCCCTCCATATATTAATGTCTTGGAATTTAGAGTTCTATTTATGTTTTCAGTGATTGGATATTAACACTTATTTGCATTTCTTGTGAGTCTTGGACTTCTACTTTCATGTTTGATGGATGTCTTAATTAATGGGTTTTTCATCACGAAAATGGTGAGTTTTGGGAAAGATATCGCTTTCATTCCAAATACACTTCATATTGGAAATTGTGATTTAATAATATTCTTTCCATTTCACTGTTTTTATAACTGGAGAAAAATACTTGAACTCACTAGATAACGTCTAACATTTTCCTTTGTCGGCATGTGCATCAGGTCCTTGGGGGAATGGTTCTAGTGACTCAGTGACGAGATGAATGCTAGTTAGAGTAATAAGAAGGAATTACTATTCGAGAGACATCTTTCATATGTTGGAGATAGCGATTTGTGTCAGGTTTTAGTAACACCTCATCTCTTATTATAAACTTGTATAAGGTTTGGAACAAATTTCATTGATGTTAAAATTTAGATTGTCATTATAGGTAATCAGTTGTTGACTTTTAGAAATGGATTAAATTCTTATTTGATATATTATCAAAAAATTTAAATTAGTCGTTCTTTTCAAATTTGAGGGTGTAACAAGCATGGATAGGAGGAGGGGTACTTGGGAAGATAGAAAGTGAGATATGAGGAGGAGGGGTTGGTGACAATTAATTTGAAAAATTATTACGTTAAATAGAAGGTAGCTTTCGCGTTTCTTACCTTTTATGTATGGTATTTATTATTATTATTTTTGGTAGCCGTTTGTCGGTATTACACCATATGTTTCTTTCTTTGCTTTAACTTATTTTCCTCACATTTATTATTGTTGTCTTTTTTACTTATCTTACGATTATGATGTGTTCTCGAGACCCTTTTTACAAATGATATGGGCGAAATGAGGAGAGAAAAGAACTCGTGTTCTTGAGATTTTTTAGACGAGAAAAGTAAAGAATCGGTTCCAATTGGATCGGATTGGTTGGTTATCATCATTGCAGTTGAAGAAAGTGGAGTTGGCTTTTGTTTGGAGGCTATTTAGTCTTAGTGAGACTCTTTTTAGGCTTCCTAAGCCTAAGGGGCCGTTTGGTTCGCGGAATTCAAAGGAATTTGATGGAATTGGAATGACTAATTCCTTTGACCAAATTCTAATTCCTTTGTTTGGTTCATTTCTTGAAATGGATGGAATCCTTCAAATTCCATTGAATTCCACAAGTTAATGAATTCATCATTTCTTGGCATAATGGAAGGAATTGAATTCCATCACCATCCACCACGATCATGCTACTATTGTTCGTGATGCCCCACCTTTAACCCCCACCACTGATGTCGCTGCCACCCACCCTACCCTAACCACTATGTCACTACTGTTGTCATCACACCTACCTACCCTCCGGTCACTCACTACACATCCCTATTACGACTATGCTACTAACGTTACTGTCACACCCCTAACCTAACCCCCACGACCACAACATTATTGTCGTCGTCACAACTGCCACTCACCCTATCGCACCCTACCCTAACCACCACTAGCCACTATGTCACTATTGTCGTCATCATACCCACCCACTCCCAATCACCTTGACGATCATCCCACCACTATCATCGTCAAAGCTGTCACTAATCCCCACCTCCCTGCCCATGTCGCCCTTAACCTAACCCTTCACCCCCCACACTACTATCGTCGCCTTCACAACTGCCATTTATCCGCACCCCACCCAACCCCAACCCACCACTAAACACCATGCCATTATTATTGTCGTCATACCCACCCACTCCCTGGCCCCAGCCACCCGACTACTATCCCACCACTAGCATCATCACAGCTACCACCCCGCCACCTACCCCTACCCACCCCACCGTCATGCCTTGCCCCCACCTTACCTTACCCTACTCTAACCCATCACTAACCACCATCCTACTATTGTAGTCATCATACTGCCACCTATTGCCCCACTCTGGCTTCACCTCCACTGCCTCGCCCTACCCATGCCTGCCCGCAACAATCCCCACCTATGGAGCAGGGTAGGGCAGAAGTGGTGGGGGCAGGGCGGGTGATAGTTGTGACGACGATATCAGTGACATGGTGGCTGGTAGGGTGTGCACGGGGCGATGGATGGGATAGTCCATACAAAGATGATTGTTCCAATTCTATTGAGAGATTTCATTCCAATTCCTACCAACCAAACGCATGGTCAAATTCCATCAAATTTCATTCCAATTCCTTCAAAGTCAAATTTCTTTGATGGATTCCAATTCCATCAAATTCCATTCTATGAACCAAACAAGAAAGCGGCGTTATGGGATAGCATTGTGACTCATTCGTTCTTTTGGATTACAAATAGGAGTAGTAAGTTTAGC